ACCATCTAATACTGAAAACATAGACATTAAACACTCATTTTTTTACAAAATAGTCGGAGAGACAAATTACTTCATTGCTAGTGCTTGGAACTTTTACTGGACCTAACTGGTTGACTGGTGGAGTTCCATTAGCATGGTGTTGGTCTGTCACTACTAAAGCATTAGAATTTTGCTGTTGTGCACGCAACTTGATTGCACTTTGGTCAGCGGTATCAGTCTTAGTATCCTCAGCTTTTTTTATCAGTGACGACTACATTGTAAAGAGAATATTGTGGCTTAACATCAATGATGAAAAATGATAACAAAATAAAGACAATACCATACTTAACAGTTGAAAGATACACTATATGATGCAAAAGGAGGTCTGTCAAATTGAACCAATGCATCAATTATGTAGAACACTGCAGATATAAATAATAGAAGTCAAGAAGTTCTGCATGCATACCTGTCGCTCAGGGAACTTTGGCATTTCAGATAAGATGTCCATTAAAGCTGCACCTTTCTTACTCAACTCAAAGTATTCCACAGCCCGTTGCTGTATCTCTACATCGATTCAGCCTTCATACCTGGGGTATTATGCAGATCTAGCAAATATTGCAATATCTTTGGATATATCCACAGAAGAAAAACAACCTTACAGGATGAACAGAAATTACAACACCATAAAATAATTCTCTTACTTCCTGAATATTTCCCAAATCTGTTTCTGTAGCTCCGGATCTGGTGGCTGTGTATGCATCAAGATCTTAGCATATGTTGACAGAAGAATAGGAATTATTGAAGTCCTGAATAGCATAGTTTGAGGTAAAAATAACAGACAGGAGAAAAAAGAGCAATAAGAAATAGAGATCAAACACTGAATGTCCTTATGTAACAGTAGGGAACTTCTAATGAATGATACTAAAGATTTCCTTTGGACTACATCCAGGCCTTCTGGCCAGAAGATGGCTGTATTCTCCAAGGATATATGCACTGACCTACTCCAGCAGATGGCACAATTAAAATTTTCAATTAGCTTTCCCAATATATTCTTTTCCTTTTTCAAATTGACAATAAAAGGACAGAAGATATCTACATTCAAAACAAAAATCACAAAGAAGATTATTTAGCTCTTAGGTGCTTATCTCTGGCTGTATGGCAACTAAACATTAGAACTGGAAGAGCAGATGAAATAGCACAGAAGTTCTAAGATTAGGTGATGCAGATCTAGCTTGAAGACAAAATTAGGACACCCAGGTCAGGTTGAGGCAATGGAAGCCTGATACCTGCAACAGTTCTTCCACTATGTCTTTTGCATTTGAACCATCACACATTCCATATAGTAAATCAAGCGCACGTCTCCTTATACTGTTTGAAGTACTTAAAGTCAGTAAAGAAAGCAATTTGAATACTTAAGTGGAACTTAATAGATAGACACAAGCGGCTACTGCCGATATTTTCCCATCATTTCACCAGAAAAGAGGACATATAAATAAAACAGCAGATATATTGAATGTTCAGCTCAGCTCCAATCTCATTAAATTGACAAAGAGAGCTTTCTCTTAAAGGAGTAATCATGCACATGTCACACTGAGAAAGCTTTTGGGCAGAAAAAATTGAGCTATACTAACTTGGTTGTTCCAGCAGCACATTTTACTTAATGTACTTCTGCTGTGAAACAAAAGCCATCAGTTTCAAATAGAGTTCCGAGGATACCAACCAAACTCAAGCTGAAACACATAACACCAAGCAAGTTTTTAATGTAGTCTCATAAATAGAACACAGCATGTGCAAGGCAGTTTCAAATTCCGGTCATTCTAAGAAAAATCAATTACATGGTTTCCAAAATATAGGGGAAAAGTACTATAAAATCAAAGTGCAAGGATGAGATAATTGTGAGTCAAACATTCACTTGCCACACTGACAGTATCATATGCATAGTTGTGAGTCAAACATTCACTTGCCACAATGTATCATATGCAACAGTTCCACAACCACAAAGTTCCACAGTTCCACAGACCACGAAACTGCAACAGTTCCACAGACCACGAAACTGCAACAGTTCCACAACCACAAAGTTTCAACAGTTCCACAAAGCCACCAAATAATAGAATGCATTCATAAAATTTTCAAGTCACAAAATATTTTCAGCCCACAAAACATTATCAATCTAATTTGTAATGCTTGCCCCTCAAAAAATAGTAGTTTAAGAAGTTCCATTGTGCCATTACATACTAAATAAAAACTCTTTAAACCAATACTTAGCAACTACTTTCTAATGTTTGCCCCTCTTTGCCTTAAGCTTGCCAATCTTTTTTTACTTGTCTTTTTTC